GCTGCACTTGGCTCGCGCCCACACGTATAGGCCCCGCAGCGAGTCCGCCTCCTGGCAGCTGATCCAGGCCCAGGCCAGGTACACCAACGCCTGGCTGTATGTGGCATCCTGCGTCTTCTGTGTGATGAGAATTTGCTGCAGAAGGAATGGAATAAATGGCGGGGGGCTGGAGAATGGCCTTTTTAGGCAGACAGACAGCGACACTCACTTGGGCGTAGCGGATGACCAGCTCTGGCTGCTGGATGTGCATGGCTATGATGACGACGCCGATGCGGATGCGATTGAACCACGACTGGCAGGTGGGGTTGTTCAGGCGAAAGAAGGCGGCCACCGGCTTCTCGGGCGGTCGTAGGGCGAAGGCGCTGCCCTCGGCCGCATTGTAGATGAGCTTCTCGAGGGCATCGAGGAAGCCCAGCAGCATCGACAGGTTCACCTGGATGGCCGAGAGCTGCTCCAGCGACAGGCCGCTGAGGGAGGAGCGCTCCGCCTCCTTGGCACAGCCGCTGAGAAGGCGGGCGTGCCGCATGATCACCGCCTCGAAGCCCAGGAACGTCTCCTGCGGCTTGCCGAGCGTCGTCCGCAGCCGCTGATCGACACAGTAGCGGGCCGCCTCGAACTGCAGCCAGGCGGCGGCCAGACGCTGGCAGCGACGCGTGCACTGTGACAGCTTCTCCTGCCGCTCATCGGGCGGCGCCACCTGGTAGCTGCGGACGAACAGCTCGCGCAGGCACTGCGTCAGCTGCTCCTGTTCCGGCCGCTGCAGATGATCGACGAACTGCTGGAACACGTTGTCCCGCACCGCGCTGCACTGGCTCATCTTCTGCTGCCACACGCACACCCGACGGCCCTGCAGCCCCGACTCGAACAGCGTCATGTGCAGCGGCAGCTGGGCGTAGATCTGGGCGTAGGGGGCATGGCCGCTGGTCGTGAGTACTTGCAGCTGCTGCAGCGCCGTCTCGCGGTACAGGACGAGCAGGTCCTGTCGGGAGTGTAGGGCCTCGGGGCCAAAGTCGAGCACTGCCTGCATGCAGGCGGCACTCTCGAGGGGCCGCCACTTGGCGGCGGTGCCTCCAACGCTGTGGCAGATCCCCAGGAAGTTATCCTGCTCCAGCAGCAGCGGCGCCCGCTCCCGGCACTCGGCCAGCAGCAGCTGCGTCCATTGCAGCAGCAGCTTGAGATTTTCGGCCGCCAGACGGCCGGCTTGCGTGAGGATGTTGTCCAGGAAGCGGAGGATGCACTCGAAGCTGTGCGCCGTCGGCGAGGTGTTCTCCTTGGAGAGGGCGTGGTCGCGGAAGAGAATGGAGTTGGTGCGGAAGTTGTGGTTCGCCTGGCAGTGGACGACGAGCAGGCCAAGGAGCGCTTGATGCGTGGTCGGGTGCCTGGCCCAGAGGCACAGATCCTGGGCGCAGCAATTGCTGATCAGCAGCTTCAGTATCGACGGCTGGCAGGCGTACATCCCAATGATGGCGGACGTCTGCTTGGCTAGGGCCGCCAGTGCGGCCAAATGGAAGATCAGCACTATTTCGGCCTCGTTGGAGTCCCACTGTGCGTGGGTGGGGGGCGGCTCTCGCAGCACCTGGATGCAGGCATTGATGTCCCTCACCAGATGCCCGTACGCCTGCTGCAGCAGCGGCACATTCTTGAGGATCAGCATCTCCTGGCAGGTGCGCAGCAGCATCTTGTATGCTGCCCCGCCCGTCTGGCGGCGCACCTCTGCCACATAGGGATGACCGTCGGTGCCCGACTGGAAGACCAGCTGCACCAGGCTGGCGGGCAGGCGGACGCGCAGCCGACGCACCGCACAAAGCAGCAGATAGAGCGCACTCTGGCGCTGGGGCTCGCTGAGGCGGTGCATCGTCTCGAACTGGCCGAGCAGCACCTTCTCCAGTTCCTCGGGCTGCAGGCTGCCGCCGCAGTTGTGCAGCAGACAGATGCACAGCAGCTCGTTGATGTTGATCAGGGCGTCCGCATCCGCATTCGCATCCGGATGTAGGAGGAGGACACTTGGCAGGATTCTGGTGATGTGATCGACGGCCACCTTCACAATCGACTCGCAGGCGGGATGGCCCTTGAATATCTGCATGCGGACGGAACATTTAAGCAGCGTATTGAAGGCGCCCAGAAAGGAGCCCAGCCGCTCCGACCAGCAGATGCCCTTTCGCTGCCCATCCTGTTCGTGCTCGTGGTCGTGCTCGTCCTCGAGCACCGTAATGTCCTCGACAAACTGGGCCAGCAGGCCGTAGCTGAACTCGATCTTTTTGCTGAAGTAGGGCGTCAGCTGTTCGAGCACCTGGGCGCAGTGGGACTTGAGACGCTTCGGCTGTCCCTGCTCCAGCTGCCAGCCGATGATGATGTCCACCACGTCGGTGAAGTGGCACTCGAAGGGATGGCGGTAGCTGTGCGAGAACTGCACAATGGCGCTGCTGACATCCATGAAGCTGTCGGCACTCTCCGCGCTCTCCAAAAAGTCCTTCAGCATCAGCATCATCTTCTCCGAGTACAAATGCAGCTCGCAGCTCGTGTCAAGGCTGTGTGGGGCATAGAATGGAATGGCATGGAAGCGATTGCAGCAAAGGATGGATGGATGTGCTCGTACCTTAGTGTGGTTCTTAGGGCGACTATCAGGTAGTGCTGCATGCGCTTGCAGGAGCGATAGTGCTTCACAATGAACTCCTCGTAGATGGGATAGGCCAGGCGATTGAGGTAGCCCATCAGGCCGAGGGTCTTGCTGCACTCCTCGAGGACGGGCGGGGCGCAGTGCTTGTACAGCATCAGCATGCCCTCGAGCACAAGATCGAAGGAGCGCGCCATGTAGGCCATGTTCAGGGGCGTGCGTACGGCCACAGCCAGCTTCCTGCACAGCTCGAGCGCTACCGCGCTATTCGTCTCCGTGTTCAGGCGACGTATGATCTTAGTGAGACGCAGGTCATCGCTATTTCCGCCACCATGATGGTTATTGTTGTTGCTGTTGCCCGCCTGCTTGTTGGCAATTTGATCGCGCTCGCCTGCGAGAGCAGAACAGTTTAATGGACACACTCGACATACAATGCTTGTGGGGGCGGGACTTACCTTTGCAGGGATACGCCCGTCGATGGCTGTTCTGTTGCATACACTTTGTGGCAGCCAGGGTCATGTCAAGCGGCATATTGGCATTCCGCGACATCATGGGCGACATTCCAGTGGCACTGGCATTGCTAGAGCCAGCAGCTGTTGCCGCAGATGCGGCGGAGGCAAAGGCCTGCGCCACAGCCGCCTCGTGATTCCACATCGATTCGCTGGAACAGCTGTAGCTATCGCTGCCGCCATATCGAATTTGGTTGCTGCTGGCATTGCCATTGCTGTTCCGCAAAACGCGGTCTAGCTGCACACGCAAGGGGACGGACGCTGATGCTGATGCGGATGCGGATGTCGATGCGGACACGGACGCCTCTTCTTCGGCTTCATAGTCGCTGTCCACGGATAGTGCTCTTCGCATTGAATAAACTGACGGCACCACCGCAGACATCAAGTATCCCTCACGGTCTTCATTCACGCACTTTCCTCAACACACACTTACTTTTTTTCTTTGGATTTTCGTGGGTCTGTTCGAGTTTCGTTCTGTGTTTCTTGAATGGAATGCTCTGCTCTGCTCTGCTTTATAGGTGGGTGGCACGTTATCGCGATCGATGCGATAGTTCGATAATGCCCTTGATCGAGATGGCACGCAATGGACCACTATCGTTTTTGGTACTATCCGCAAATGCAAGTCCTTGGCCTCCTTGAAGCACGAGGGGCTTTACTTTCTTAGAATAATATCCTTGGGGCTTATGTAAACCACTGCTTGCCTTACTTGCAACGTAGCAGATCGCAGCACAGACTGAAAGCCTGTCAAAACATTCCTTGAACTGTCGCATTGCTGGAAAGTAATTTGTTCAAATTGTTTGCCTACTGGGTTCTAAAATATAAATACAGGACACCTTGCAAAACACATTGGGGGTATTCGCGTAAATGGTGACGCAAAGAGCTGCACACCGAAGCAGGTGGTTTTTGTATAATTTTTGTTTTCCAGAGTTTTGCAAATTTGTAACTTCATCAATTATTTCCTTAATCATAATTTGTTTTTCTTAATTCAATTGCATGTTTGATTTTAATTTTGGAGAATAACTCGACGTTTTGATAACAGAAAAGGTTCGAAAGGATCCAGCACAACATAAAAAAATTTTCAGCAGCTGTTCATTTCCGTGCGCTGGTCTCTCTTATTTTTGTTGAAGCAGCTGATTAGCACAATACAAATCAAATCGAAAACATATACCCAAATACCCGCATATCTTGGCGAAAAATACTCAAGTATCGCTATCGATATCAGTTGCGCATGCCAATTATACCAGATTCACGCAAATATCTTAAAAAAGGCCAACAGCCGAAAAAACTCACGTTGTGCTATTTACTGTATCTTCCAAGTGCAGAATACACACAACACACAGCGACACCTACCAACAACCAACAACTACCTACACTGGAAGGCTTAATGTGCAACGCATTTTGCATCGACTAAACTCAAGGTAAACCATAACAAAGCAAACCAGTGGACAAAGTGGGGCCAAAATCCAAAACAGCGAGCGAAACACAAATAAGATTTTTCTTGGCACAATGCTGCTGCTTGGCCTCTGCTCTGACGCGGCTGGCAGCGACGCGCGTCGGCGGGCCGTGTGGTGGAGTGTGCGTGCAGTGCAGGAATTGGGTTGAATTGAGTGTCCCTCCGGTGGAACGGAACCTAACTGTCCGGCCAGACAACAAAGCGTCCGTCCATCGAGGGTGGAAAGGGGGGCGTGTGCCCAATATGGCAGCAACAGAGTAGCAGCAGCGGGCAAATGAACTTAACCTCAAAGACAACGTGTGACGAAAGATTCCGCCACGACGGACATGATACCCTAAACAGAACACACACACACACACACACACAGACAGCAAAAGTAAGATAAAAGGAATTCATATGTGACATCAAAGTGTCAGATCACATCAGAAAGTCAACGACAAAGGGAATGGAAGCGACAGCCAATGGAAACATTAGAAAAAGCAAGCTCCCACCACAACAAAGACACCATCGAGGCAACCGCATAATCTAATCTCGCGTCTCCATTCTTCCTTTCAGAGCGCGCCAAAAAGGGGGCTAGAGCGAAGCAGTTGCTCGCCATGGGGAAGAAGCGTCAGATGGACAACCACGACAATGCCAGTTCAACGGACTCGGGCCAGGAGGATAGCCACGGCCAGACGGCCGGTGCCAGCGGCTCAGCAAGCGCTGCAGGAGCTGGCAGCTTGGGTGCGGATAGCCCCATGACCAACTGCTGCCAGCACATCAAGAAATCGGTTGATGCGGCCCGGTTGCGGCGTCAACTGAAAACCACCGGCCTGGTATACGAGTGCTCGCAGTGCCAGAAGATCAGCCAGTCCGCTGCATCCGGTTCAGGCTCCGGCGTAGATCTGGCCTGCGACTTCGAGATCGACAGCACGCTCTGGCTGTGCCTCAAGTGCGGCACCCAGCTCTGCGGGCGGTCACGCAAGCAGCACGCCCTCCAGCACTACAAGGTAAGAGGAGAGCATGGCCGCCCGCCCTCAGTTTCAGCAGTTCCTGGACTCTCTTGGCTCTTGTTCTCTTGCAGACACCACACTCGGACTCGCATGCACTGGCCATGAACACACGATCATTTGAGATATGGTGCTATGGCTGCGACAACAAGGTCATCCCCAACTCCCGCAAGAACTTGCTCGAGTGCGTCGAGCTGGTGAAGCGTCTGGCCCAGAAGCCGCCCGCCGATCCACCTGTGGAGGCCACTGTCGTGGCCGCTCCCAGTCCACCCATCATCACCGACATCGAACTGAAATTGAAATCGGCCCTAAATCGGCTCAAACCCATTGTGCCCATGACGGGTGGCTCGTTCGAGGACAACAACAGCACCGGCAGAAGCGGTGGGAAGGCCCTGACAAGTAACCTAACAGCCATACCCCTGCCGTCACCCCCAGGAGCCACCGCCAGCAGCCCTGTTCCGGGCATGGCCAAGAGGATCGACTCCGCCGCCGTCGGCAGCAATCCGAATCGCCCGTGCTCACCCAGGAGCGAACTGGAGCGACTACCGCGTGTCCGTGGACTGACCAATTTGGGCAACACTTGCTTCTTCAATGCTGTTATGCAGTGCCTCGCCCAGACCCCGTTCCTGCTCCGTGTTCTCCGGGAGCTGGCGGAACCAGGAGAAGAGTAAGTGCGCCAGACGGGGAGGCCGAGTGTGGCTGTGACTGGGGATCGATAATCGATGGCTAATTGAGATATCTCTTTCCATCAATTCCACAGATTTGAGCTGCCCGGAGGGACGTTCGATTTCAAAGACAAGGGCCCCACCGACTTGCCGATCATCCGGGGCACCCTCTCCTCCTGGGGCGGCCTCACCTCGGCGCTGGCCAACGCGCTCGAGGAGCTGCAGGTGGGTGGTGGCGTCTTCACACCCAGCAAGCTCTTTGACAGGCTGTGCGCGAAGTGTCCGCAGTTCACGGGCGGGGACCAGCACGACGCCCACGAGCTGCTGCGGCAGCTGTTGGAGAGCGTGCGAAACGAGGATCTCAAGCGCTATCAGCGCGTCATCCTGCAGAACCTCGGCTACAAGGACGAGGACATACAAAGCGTGTCGGAGGAGATGCGGCAGAAGTGCAAGATCTATGGCAACCAGGCCGGCGACCGCATCCTGCGACCAGAGCAGGTCTTCCGCGGATTTCTCGTCTCGACGCTGACCTGCCAGGACTGCCACAGTGTCTCGTCGCGGCACGAATACTTCCTGGACATGTCCCTGCCGGTGGCCGTCGAGAAGCCCCAGCCACCACAGCGGCGCAGGCCCAGCCCCGAGAGCTCGCCCTTTCCCATCGCCGGCCAGACACAGACACAAACACAGAACCAGTCGCAGTCGCAATCCCCCACCAAGATAAACACCAAGTTCACGACGCCCGAGGATAGCAACCCGTTCTCGACGGCTTGTTCCTCCTCCTCCTCGTTCTACCTGCACGCAAACGAGCAGGAGCCCGTCGGTCCGTCCAAGTCGCAGGTGAAGAAGGAGAAGGAGCGCGAGCGCAAAGCGAAGCGGGCGGCCAAGCACCATCGCTACAAGCAGGCACAGAAGCTCACCCTCAACCTGAACGGAAACGGAACGGGAAGCCAGGCCGATGAGTCGGATGCCGGCACAGGGAGAGTGACATCGTCCGGGGGCGGCGACGGCGATGGCCAGACGACCAGCGATGGCCAGGATCCGCCCAAGGAGGATTTAATGTCATCGAGCTCCACCACATCGGAGAACTCGGACGCCGATGTTGAGGACAATTTGATGGATGAAACGGCAAGTGCCAGGGACAGGACTAAGCCCCGAGGGGCCACCGGCGGCTCCTCATCCTCACCCGCTCAGGGAGGCAGCAACAGCAGCAGCAGCAGAAGATTCTTCACCGACACCAATGGCAATGCCCAGCCGCTGGGGGAGAAGCGGGACGACACGCCCGAGAACATGGACAAGGACTCCCTCGAAGAGGATGAGAACGGTAAGCGGAGCTCTGAGTGGGGGAAACCCCTATCCTCTATCCACTTATTCCCCTTCCACATTCCACAGACTCTGGCATAGCCACCAGTCCGTTGCCCAGCGGCATCAGTAAAACAACGACGACCACCACCGCCAACAACAACGAGGCTTCCAGAGGTGCAGAGCAGCAACAGCCACAGAAGGATAAGAAGGAGGAGGGCCAAGCCTCTGCGGACATAGTCACAGCGGGCGTGAGCGAGGTGGGTGCCTCCACCATACGCCAAATCTCGGTTGAATTGGATCTGCCAACGAATGGAGACGTCCGAGAGGAGGCGGGTGAGGCGAATGGGGATGCGGATGCGAATGCTACGCTCCAGCTGCAGGAGATAGCCCACCAGCTGGCTATAAGTGAATTCACCTTGGAGGCCACAGCGGCAACTGCAGCTTCGGCCACAGCCGAGGGGGTGGCAGCAGCAGCCGCGGCGGCAGGAGTCGCGGCAGCAGCACGCGCCAAGCGTGTGCGAACGTACAGCTATTCGGACTGGAGCACCACGATAGCGCCGCGGTACCAGTGCGAGGACGGAGAGTGCTCCGTGCAGTCCTGCCTCAACAACTTCACCGCCGTCGAACTGATGACCGGCCAGAACAAGGTGGGGTGCGAGAGCTGCACCCTGCGGCTGAATGGTAACGATACGAAGGCCAAGTCGGTCAATACGAATGCCACCAAGCAGCTGCTCGTGTCCAGCCCTCCGGCGGTGCTCATTCTCCACCTGAAACGCTTCCAGCTTGGGCCGCGCTGCATATTCAGGAAGCTAACGCGGCCGGTCAGCTATCCAAACATGCTGGACATTGCCGCCTTCTGCGGATCCAAGGTGAAGAATCTGCCCAATATCGATCGCAAGCAGAAGAAGCTTCTGTACGCCCTCTACGGGGTGGTGGAGCACTCGGGCGGCATGTATGGCGGCCACTATACCGCCTACGTTAAGGTGCGGCCCAAGGTGACGCCGGAGGACAATCGCTGGAAGTTCCTGCCGCACGGCAGCAAGGCCGAGCTCGATCAGGATGACGAGCAGCTGAAGAAGCTGGAGGAGCTGCTGGCCAAGGAGAAGGCCTCGCGCCTTCTGCACTTGAACTCGATGAACGACAGCGACGACTTCACCAACTCCAGCAGCAATTCATCTACCTCGGACGAGTTCAATACCAATCCCAATGGCGGTACCGGCCAGGATGGCCATCACGAGCAGCAGGAGGAGGAGGCTGCCAATGTGCAGGCGCCGCCAGGGAAATGGTACTACGTATCCGATTCGCGGGTCCAGGAGGTTAGCGAGGACGCGGCGCTCAAGGCCCAGGCCTATCTGCTCTTCTACGAGCGCATCTACTAAGGGGGAGGAGACTGGAAATGGGACTAGAACTAGCCCAAGGGACAACGAGAACTACTACTAGGCACTATGGACGGGGGAAAGCAACAAGAGAAGAGAAAAGAGAAGAAAAGAAAAGAGAGAGAAAGAGGAGCAGCAGCCATCGTTCCATTATATAGCTTACGATAGACCTATAAAATATTTTTTATTTATCAATTTGTTTTTCGACCTCCCCAAATTTAATTCTTGTTATTTTTTATAGCCGCTCTCCAACTCTCTCTCTCTCTCTCTCTATGCTTTAAGTTCATTTGTTTTTATTCATGAAACATGTTTTTTTTTTGGGCGGGGACAACGATGTTTTGGGAAAAACGTAAAAATACCGAACGGCAGCCACGGGGGAATGGCAAAGATGACCCAACACGCCAAATGCATTTGTTTTAGAACCCCAACTCCAAGAAGGTTTAACCATTTCGAAATCAGGTTTTTTTTTGTTTCAGTTGATGGGAGGGGGGAGGAGGGGGGAACCAGCTTTAGTAGAAATGCATTGAAAACGAATTGCTCTTTCCTTGCTTATATGACTAGACGGTATGATGAAGGGTATGATGAAATATATTTTATACTCAAAAACGATAAAAAAGAAAAAACGAACAAAAAGATAAGTGGAAGAAAAAGATATGATAGAAACGGAGGAGGTTGACTTAATGAGAAATGCAATGTTTATTAGTTCTAAGTTTTTGAATGGTTAACTTTATTTTGTCTGTGGTCCAATAATCATCCAAAAGCATTGCCCTGAGTGAAGACAGAGGACCGTAGACCCCGTGGAGTGGTGTTAAGTGCAATCAAGACAGCAAAAAGCCACGAGAAGAAAACGAAACAGAAGCAATTAACCACAATGTGTTTAGAGTTACGATAAATCGAAAAGAACGGATAGAAGAGAGAAAAAAACAATCGAAAAAAAACCCAGAAGGGAACCTACATATAACTAGTGGCTGGGGCTGGGGGGGGGGTATGGGGTATCGTATAGGAAGGGGAATACATATATACATACATACATGAATATGAATATGAAACAACAACCAATTGCTCGCTTCTGCCAATAAATGTAACTTGTATCGCGGTATATTTAATATAATACAATACAATACTTTATATACTCTATATGTAATGGGCTATATATATATACATACAATATACAATACACAACATATACTTATACACACATATATACAATCGTAGATATTTACAATTCCGGAGTAATATTACTTAAAATTAAAATGTGTCGCGCAGCTAAAACTAGTAGCAATGGGTTGAGAAATTCGAGAGACGGCAACGACAGAGATTTTTACCATAGGGAAACATACATAATTAATTATACAACACACCATTTATAATACACATAGGTTTAACTATCGGTTTAATTAAAACTAAAATAACAACTAACCTTCCATGGACTCGTATGTATAATAAAGAGAGAAACAATTTGAGATACATTTGTGGTGGCTACTGCCAACCTGGGCGGTTTTAGCTGAGCGAATGCCCAGGCAATGCCCGTGAAGCGCTGCCGCATGACGTAAGGAAAGGAAGGAGACTCTTAGGTTTCGATAAGTATTGGTATAAAAAACATTATCATACATTGCCCCCCCCCCCCGGACACCACATTTCCCCCCACTTCAGTTACGAACAAAATGTTGAAGAAGTGAAAATCAGAATAATGATAAATGGAAGATATGCACATACATACCTACATACATATTTATGTACGAATGAATGATAAATGCATAGCCAGGTATAACCGGATTAACACCTATCTACCTCCACTCCATGTACTCGTGGGAGAGATTCGCATCGTATGCAAAATGACTCTGAGTGTTAAATAAATTCTAGGAAATCCCAATTTTAATCGCAGATTGTAGACTGGTGTGCGTTGGAGCGCCTGCCCCCTACCCCTCCTTTCGTTAAGCAAGATGAAAAACGACAACAAAGCGGCGCCGCTTATCGGGCACCCAGCATCTGCCCCACACCGACCCGAAGGTGGCCGGGTTCACACTCGCAATCAGATGCCACACTTGCCAGACACAGACCCACAGCCCAAAGCCAAAGCCAGAGCCTCAGTCAGAGCTAAAGTCAGAGCTGGAGCTCTGAGCCAGTCGCACGATGAGAGCAGCGGCGCTAGCAATTGTTCTATTTGGGTCTGGTTCTGGGTCTGCTGTGGGGTCCCGGGGCACTGGCCAAGCGGTATCTGCGCTGTGAGCTGGCCCGCAAGCTGCTCGACCAGCACGGCTTCGAGCGTAGCCTTCTGTCCAACTGTGAGTAGAATTCGGTATTGATTGGCTCCAGAGAGCCTTGCTCTGGCCTGTAATCCCGATCCCACTCCACACAGGGATCTGTCTTCTGGAGCACGAGAGCGAACTGGAGACGACCCGCACCACTACGAACCCCAATGGATCGCGCAGCCTGGGCCTGTTCCAGATCAACAGTCGATACTGCCAGGAGGGCAGACGAGGAGGCATCTGCAACGTCAAATGCGAAGGTCTGGGGATATCGAATCGAAATTGTTGGGTCACCTAACGCTCCTCTGCTCCTCCTGTTCTCTTCTTTTTTTGCGAACTTTTGCAGATCTGCTCGATGAGAATCTGCGCGAGGCGGCCGTCTGTGCCAGGCGGATTCAAACCACGGACGGGTTTCGTCATTGGAATGGCTGGCAGCGATACTGCCGCAACACCCAGAACCTTCCCAATCTGAAGGTCATCTGTGGCATCTAGGAAATGGCCATAAAAAAGGGGGTTGGTGGGAGGTAATATAGTGCGCGTCGCTAATCAGAGTAATCCGAGATTAGAGTACGAGTGGGGAACATTTTGTGGGGGAATAATATCATATATACTCGTAATCGTCGTAGTTTAGATATTGTATTAAATCATAGAAATATAACTCTGTGGTTGGAATGTAGTACATATAACATAACCCACTTGACTTTCATTTTCAATCGAACCTTTCTTTTGCAGTTGCTAAAATCAAATGAATTAAATTTCAAGATCTTGAATCTAAGTAGATTTCTATACAAACAAATGCTCAGCTCGTATATTTTGCCACTGAAATTTCTCACCGTTCTATGGTAATTACTTCAATGATATTTATATTCAACTTAGAATGGATTCCGATTTCTTTGTGAACGAAATTTACTCTCACAACCATTTGATATTTCCTTCGACCAATTTAAGATGTGCCTGTTCTATTTACAATATTATTTATTTATCTATTTTTATTAATTTAGGGCAAACATAAAATATTAACTTACAAATATGCGAGCACTAGCTACTGGGGCCTACTGGGGCACTGTTGTTATTATATTATATATTATTTTAATTGTCGTTGTAATGCCTGTTTTAAAGCTATGGCTTTTGTTTTGAAAGCGTAAAAATCGGCTTGAAAGATCTCAATTGTCTGAAGAATGGTCCTATAAATGTGAACCGCAGTGTTCCAATCAACAGTCTCTCGCTCGTTCTCTCTATATCAGTGGGCAAGTGAGCTTTTGCTCTCGCGTGGCTTTATCACTCGAAAGTTCGTGCGTACACGGAGAGTAAAACTCTCTCTCTCTCTCTGGCTATCTATTTCTGTCTCAGCTTTCATTGCAGCTCATTAACACAATTGACGAGCGAGCAAGCAAGCTTACGCTCAACTTGGGGCTTTTTGGACCCTGTCCCTGTCGGGGGCATCTGATTTTTCATTTGGCGATACCACCCGCTCCAGAGCAGCTGCTCCCCCACCCGAGTCCAGTTATTGTTTCAATTTCAATTTGGCGACGTGTACAAAACTACAAAGAAAAATCAGCAAAGAAAAGAAACCAATAAAAAAAAACTGAAAAGTTCTGATGAAATAGAACAAAACGTCTATTGAAGCAAAGAAAGAAAGAAAGACCAGTGCCCCCCAGTGCCAGAGATACATATAAAACGCTCTACATATAAAAATATACAAAGCAAATTTCATGCGAACTTTTGCAAATAAATAAATGATTTTGTGTGTTTGATCTCAACCCCTGACCCCTGCTGGCTCGCCCCTGCCTTGTCCCTGCCCCCAAACCTGTGACTCATCTGTTGATGATGAAACCAAATCCCGGTCATGCTTGTTTCATTCAAAATGAAATCAAGAAAATTATACACTCAATTCCCTCTCTCGGACGGGACTGATGATCAGTCGTGAAGCTGCTTCTGTCGCGGGCCCAAGTTAAAGCCGCCTGACAAAGCAAATCCCCAGTCCCAGTGGTTGACGTTTTTTTTATGTTTTCTGTGTTGAAGTTGGCCCTAGACTCAGACCCCAAATTATTGTATGATAATGCATAGATATGTTCTTCATGTGATTCACAATTTCTGATTTCACAACAACAACAAATAAAAACGACCAAACTCTATTTTCTGATATGATGAAATTCGCATAGTTAAGTGGAAAAATGTTTTTTGTATAAAGAACTCAACCGAGTAGAATTAAATGTTTCAGTGTGAACCAAGTGATCTCTGCAGTTCATGAAATAAATTGCCCATAAATATGCATATGTATTAAATATTATGTTTGGAATCTGTTGGAGAGAATAACGCCCCTCCATTGTGTTTATATTTGTGCTAGCAATACAATGTACAATATACATCTGCAAGATCTCAATTCTGGGCTATGCTTGTATGATCCATATAATACATATCTAAAGAGAAGGAATTTTCTTTATTTGTGAAAAGATTTGGGGTTCAATCAATGTACTGCAATTGATGTGTGAAATTAAGCTAAATCAGAATAAATCTAAAAGATATTGTGATGGATATCTACTGATCGGCAGTACTTTAATTTCAATTAATTTGAATATTGTGCTGGGTGCAACGAAAGCAAAGCTAAATATGAACTAAAGAAAAGATCTCTATGAGAGATCAAATAAAATATGAATGAATATGAATATTCTTTTAAAATTTAAATGGACTTTACGAAGACTCTACGATCAAGTATGCATGAGTGATCCCTTGATCATGGAGCATTTCTCTTGATCCTGTCTTATGGAGATGATTAAGTAAATGCATGAGTGATCCATATAACCAATATGTATATGATCATGGAGCATTTATCTTGATACTGCCCCAAAGTCACGTAAATGCATGAGTGATCCCTTGGATATAGGGATCATGGAGCTTTACGTTGATTTATATGCCATGCCCCGAACACTATATGGACCCTCATGATGCCCAATGATCCTTGGTCCCATCCTCTAAATGTCTACTTATTTCTGCTATCTGATAGTCTATATATCTTTATACTTAAGCCTTTTAGAATTATTTAGATATTATCTACGATGCCAATAAATGCCGATTTGCCTCTCTGGCAGCTGAAACTTGAAGCTTCTTGCACCTGATTAATTTCAGTGAAACGATCCTTAAAGGTCTGACTCATCCCATCCACCTCCACTCCCCCCACCATATTGATGTCATTAACATACAAAAATATATTTTCATGGTTTTGCGTAATTCTTTCGCTGCCAATTCCACTCATCCGCATGCAGGGGTATTTCATCACGTTGCGAAAAGAAGTAAAAAATTTCCCCGCCCTGAGCCCCAGAGTGTGGCTTAGGCAGCACGCCTTTGGCCTTGTGGTTGTCTCGTCGTCATGTGTGGGTGTGTGTGTGTGTGTGTATCCCGTGTATCGGGAACGGGAACGAGAACGACGACGCCAAATCCACGTAGCTGATAGCGAAACGCGCAATCTAGGGATAAAGGGTGACAAAGGGGGTATGTCTATTGGGGGGTATTCACCGACGCCGTTGGCTATTTTTATCGCTCTCCGGCCTGCTACGCAGTTAGCATTGGCTCCATGTGTATGCATGCTCCAGTGCTTTGACGGCTCTCTGCTGCTGTCAGCCGCAGCTTTCTGGGAGAGTATAAAAGATGCCGGCCGGCAAGCGTTCGTTACCAGTTCGAAGCTTGCAGCGACAGCGAAAGCAAAGCCAAAACAACAGTTCACACACACACACACACACACACTCGTACACAGAAGCAGAAAGCCAAAGCTTAACGTACATCTGATTGGAGCAAGGGAGACAGAAAGATGAGTGAATTAGCGAAATTGCAGGAGCAACTGGGCCTGGGCCAACAGCAGCAGGGACAGCAGCAGCAACAGTCGGTGGAGCTGCTCGAATGTGACATCGAGTTCGACGAGGAGCAGCCGCAGTCCTCGCAGCAGGCAGGGGGCATCGAGCAGCCCACCAGGGCCAACAATCAACGGTCGGACGCGCTCTTCATCGAGGCCATCAAGAAGGTATCGAAGGTGCATTACATGCTGGAGCAGGCCATGGTCCTGCTGGCCGCGGAGGAGGCCTCCGAGGGCGCCAAGTCCCACTCGAAGAAGTCCAAGAAGCAGCACAAGAAGGACAAGAAGAAGGACAAGAAGAAGGACAAGAAGAAGGCCAAGAAGCAGGAGAAGAAGCGCAGGCAGTCCGCTGCGGCGGCCGTCGGTGAGCAGCCGGACGTGGAGCTCGACGATGAGGAGCTGCCCTCCACCAGCCGTCGGCGCTCCGATAGCATCAGCTCGACGAGCTCCAGCTCCAGTTCCAGCTCAAGCTCCAGCTCCTCGAGCAGCTCCAGCTCCAGCTCAAGCTCGGAGGACGAGTCGCACTACTATGCGTATGGCTGGGGACGCAAGCACTGGGGTGGCGGATGGCCCTATGGCCACCATGGACGCGATCGTTCCCGATCTCGCAGTCGTTCTCGTGGACGTCATGGCCACGGTCATGGAGGGCATCGTCGTCACGACAACGGACATGGACACGGCCACGGACATGGACATGGCCACGGACACGGCCACGGACATCGTCGTCATAGCCATGGCGTCCATCATTTTGGGCCCCATCACTTCGCACACCAACATTTTGGACCCCAGCACCTTGGTCCTTATGGCTTTGGGCCACGCGACTGGGCGGCCGCCTGTCCGGCCGGATTCGATCGCCGTGCCGCCTGGCTGGCACCTTGGACCGAGCAGAGCCGGTTTTTTCGGTCGGCGGGCCTGCCGTGGGCCCTGGAACACAGTGCGGCAAGAAGGAGGCGATCGATCTCTAGGCCACCAGGCCGTGGAGATTGGAGACATCAGCACGGTGAGCATCAGCGACGTGGACACGGACACGGACACAGACATGGCCACAAGGGTGGTTCACATGACCGTCGAGTAGCTCGTTCGAGCTCCAGCTCCAGCTCTCGCTCGAGTTCCAGTTCGGAGAGCGAGCCGGAACTGAGCAAGGGAGGACGCGGACGCAAGGGTCGACGTCGCAGCAGCCATCATGGCAAACGCTCCTCCAGTTCTAGCTCCACCAGGCGTACGGACAACGAAAGGAAGCACAAGGAGAAGCAGGGTGGCGGCCGCAAGCAGAGTCGTGCAGAAGGGCATCATGGACCGCATCACGGTCCTCATCATGGACCCCATCACGGACCCCATCACGGTCCTCATCACGGTCCGCATCACGGTCCGCATCACGGTCCGCATCACGGTCCGCATCATGGACCACATCACGGTCGTCATAGTTTCCCTCACGGACCTAATTTTGGACTCCATCTTGGCCCCGATTTCGCCTGGCATTTTCATGGACGCTATGGAGGCCATCCGGCTGTCGGCCTGGAAGGAGCACCCACCTATGGCCCTCCAACGGCTCCCAGCTATGGGCCACCGCCTGACTGGCATGGCCGCAGATGCAGTCAATTCCGTTCGCGTTCGCGTTCTCGCTGTCACAAAAAGAAGGAAGAACGAAAGGGTTCTCGCTCCCACTCTCGCTCTCGCTCACGATCGCGCTCAGGCGGGATAAAGCACGGCAAGGACATGGAAAAGAAACATCAGGGACATGGCAAGGGACACATTTCAAATCCTGTACACGGCCTCCATCGTGGATCCATTCCAAATCGTGGACACGGCAATCATCATCGTGGATCTGTGCCTCATTTCGAGCATCATAGAAGCGCCCTTCATCGCGGCTCCGTTCCCCTTCACGGTCCTGAGAGCCCTTGGGGCTGGGGTGCCTAAGCGACAGCGGTGACAGCGGCCCTCCCACAACAAAAAAATATCAATTTATCTTCAATTTAACCAACCTCAAACATATTCATTGATGTTGTGCCCCACAAACTATTATTATTAAACGCGTATACCAAAAAAAAATATATATATTATAATCCTTATAAACGTTATATTATATATGTATGTATGAAAGAGCAAGAAAAATATAAATAAAAATTATAAAACTAGAAAACCCAAATTAATGATGTTTGTTTTTATTGCGTTGGCGCTTTCGCCTTTCTATGCGCTTCTCAAAATGTTTAGCCAAACGTAAATACTCGTACTCGTATTTTTTGTAGCATTTAAACATTCTATTATTTAATTACAAGCGCAGGTTCCCATACACCCACCAGCCAGCTTTGGCTGCTTGAACAATGGCAAATTATTTCATTTAATTGCATTAATTCAGTGGACGAAACCACCGTTAATGCATCCACTCAGATAAAAACATCACCCGACAGCCACAACAGCAACAAAATAAATATAATTAATATAAAAAGCAAATTTAATCCCATTAGCGGGAATTAAAATGCCATCGGGAAAAACAAATAACAAAAACAATTCATTTTATGTGGAATATTTATGAGACAGTTTTTTGGTTGAAACTTTAAGTGGGTCCAGGCCATGGGGGGCTTATGGAGCGCATTGTCGGGGCATGACGAGGCCAGATAAGGCGTGTGGTTCGAGTGGGCGGTTTTCCCCCATAGAAATGACGGCGCCATGCCAGCGATAACACGGCTCGATAAGTTGATTGAACATATTAGAGACATAGAGATACGAGAGAGAGAGAGGGAAGCACTCTATCTATTTTCACTCAATTACGCATATTTTTGGCGGTGCTCTGGCGATAGGTAATCCAATTAACTGCTGCCAAAGGCCAATTGCAACCACAGTGGCTGCCATACCCTCAATAGCCAGGCAAGAAATGGAACAACCTGTGCATGGGCGGAGAGGACATACCTTTACACTTTACGAACCAAAAAAAAAAAAAAGGGAAAAAAAAAGGGGGGGACAAGGAGGAAAACGCATAGTGTTCTCTTGATCATCAATGAGGATTTTCTCTTCTCTTTATGAATTTACATACATGCCAAATAAAGCTAAAAAGGAAGAGGTGTAGTTTCGGTCGTTCCTTTGTCAGCTGTACATATGCATATATGTATTACATATGTACATTGTACATTTAATAAATAAATACAAATTTAAATTACAAATCGGATCCAGGTATAGGAGGATCAGTAAAGAGTAAGGGATCGGATCCTGGCCACATTTTTCATAGCAGAAATGCTAATTTTGACCATTCTCTGGAGGGGTCTTTGTTGCATCTTCATTGCATCGTCAGGGCTTCCGATGCACCAGATACAGATGCACCAGCAACTGTACCCAGTATTTACTGTTCTCTCTCTTAATCGCTCTCTTAAGCGGGGCCCACACAAGAGAATATTGGCTAAGAGAAAAAACCTATTTAGCTGGGTACAGTTGATGGTGCATTTATGGTGGGAGGGGGAGATTTATGTATGGGAACAGCAAAGAGCTAAGAACAGAACAGATTGTGTTGCTTATGTAACAGATACCTGAAATGCAACGCAACAAATAAAGTAAACTCTCAAAGCCCCTAAGGGAACACTTTCTGAGGGGCAAGTGTCTGGGAACAGAAGTTTTTGTACAGTCTTTGTGTACAATTTGTTTGGCTGGGGAAGAGATTTGGGTGAGGTGTGTGCTATGATATTCTCTTTGCCGGGTACACAAATTGTCTTAGAACTGCTAGTTCAGTGGTAAAGTGATTCTAATTTGTATTTGCTGCAAGCCTCTGAAGCTCCAGCTGAAGCCTGGCATTCTCCACAATCTCTCGACCGACTCAGCTGCCCAGGGCATTAAGGCATTGACAAACAGACAAAGTAGGCAGCGGGACGCCGTCAGAGACGAAGCAAAGGTGAAGGCGCATCCATGCAACATCTTGGTAATTTTATATTCCTTGATAGTCGTCTCCAGTGCGAGATGAGCGAGTGATAAGAAAGGAAGAGCACATATGGAATGTAGATGGAACGACGAGCCGATCGCCCCTGGATACAGGATAAGTTACTTTTATTTAGCCAAATAGATCGCAGGGGGGCTTGCTAGTCGACTCTTGACTCTGGGACTCTTGTTGTTCTCTTTCAATTTTATTCACTAACAAACACTTTATAGAATACAAAAATACAAAACGACCATCCTGAGAATTCTCCCGGCCATCGGCCATCAATCGAAGGCATAGTACTGAATACGTCCCGAGGACCACGCAATGGTCACAATAGATCGATCGTCATCCTTGTACAGCGGCTGGAAGCAAACGAAACTGGGATACTCGGCTGCGTTCTCGCCACTGAGATAAAAGGCGGGCGAAATTTGCAGGTCGTACTTTGTGATGAATGTGCGGAAAACGGAAATGTGATTGGTGGACTTGTAGGTGATCACCAAATAGTTGCCATGCGGACACCAGGCCAGCTGCTGGACAGGGCCACCGATCAGCGATCTATTCTCATCGGCACTGCAAGCATTTAGATCCGCTATGGGCAGTACCTCCTTCTCGTCCTTAGTCGCTAGGGGGGGGGGAAGAGGAAAGACGAGGTTCATTGGAAGGTGATTGGCAACGTAAGGATATGAATTATGATATTTTGAACTGATTTCAAGTGTTGGCAGCATTATACAGGCGGTCTGGAAACTCAAGCAGCCGCCAACCTGTTGCTAACTAATTTACTCTTGGGCAGCCGCTGGTGGTCATAGTCTGGCCATAACTCTGGGCCAAACATTTTAACCAGACTGCCCTTGATTTTCCCCCTTTAGCATTCGCATTCGAATTAACTTACATTTCAACATAGTTTGCTGGACGAACTGCAGTCGATAGAGAATCGGCTCGGTCGTACTGACAAAGAGCAGGAAGCGGCCACAGGGTGACCAGCAGGCAGTCTGGACATGGCCACCGTTGCCGCACGTCCAACGCTCAGTGGTCCAATGGTTGTGGCAGTTCCACACACGAAATACTCGATCGACGGTGCCAGCGAAGAGCCAATCGTTGCCCGGTGACCACTTGAGCAGGGATCCGGGCGGGCCCAGTCTCTTGAGCGGCTCCATTAGTGCACTGTCCGGCTGCCAGATGATGATCGAGCGATCGCCAATGGAAGCGGTCGCCAATAGGTTACCAACCTTGTTCCACTGCATAGAGGTGATGGGTAGGTTAGCGGGACTGCAAAAAAAGTAAAAATAATTAATACAAATACCGGCTGAGTGGTGAATCAATCTTGGCAATAAATACTCACTGCTTAAAGATCTGACTGGGCGAATTGGTACGTCCCAGAATCATGGTGTTGTCCACTACCCAGAAGCAGAGACCCTGACGGCAGCCAATCACAATCTCCGTGGCACTCAGTGGACGCCAGGCCATGCACGTTATTTGTGTCTGAGTTGCACTCTTCAGTGGATCAGATTATCGGGTTAGGTTTGGCGGAGGGAATATGAATATTTGTGACTGGAACGACTGGCACTCACCTTCAAGACGGGTGTCGCTGCATTGGTGGTGTTCTTGGCGTAGATGCGCACCACATCGTCAATGCCAGCTACGGCTAGCTTGAAGACATGACAGTTCCATGCCATGAACCGCACATCGCTATCTGTCCAATCCCTGGTCTCCACATACTGGGCGATCCGCTCGGCACTCACATCCTGTGTGTGCGGGAATACTTTCAACTTAAGCGTATTGGCGATGTCCAGCAGCTGGGATATGTAGTCACCGGTTCTGCCCAACCACGGAGCCTGTTCGCGAGTCTTTTCGCTGCGAGTTTCGGACAGCGACTCCCAGAAGCCACCCTCAAAGAAGGTGCGAATGATGCGTTTCAGCACACCTTCATTTACCGGCACAAAACCCTGACCGCCATAAAAACGATGCGCCGATGAATTGTGTAGCTCGCTCTTCAGCTGTATCCTGGGGTAGTTGTCCAGCTCAGGAATATAATTGGGACGAAACGACGGATCCGCCAGGGCGCTGAACGGCGGGCATTGTTTCAGATTGCTTAACGCTGCCATTTACTTTTGATTTCAATGTAAACATAACCCACGCCAACCCAAAAGAGTAAAAGTGCGGCAAAACAAAAGTGCGGCCACACTAGCAAAGTGAATCGAATGCATCACTGAAAGTGATACTTTTATTAATGGTATTCCTGAAAGCGATATTAGTGGCCACAATTAAATACAATGGTATCCATTTTGAAGGGAAAAGTAGATAGATGGATAGCCTTATGGGAAATGCCTGCAGTCAGATCGGGCGAAATGTATGCGTCCAGTTGACTTTCCAGTTGAGCTGGGAACAGCGCTGTATACGAGAAGAAAGGAGAAAAATACCAACTCTTAAAAAACGGTGATAAAATTATCGACTCACTCAAAAAAATCGGTATTTTTTTGCGATAAGTATAAACAAAATTTGGCGGTCACATCAAATCGATTTCACTTCAGATTCAAAGAATTGTCCGTTGTTTTTTTTAACTAGGAGGAGCCAGCCACAATTTCTAAATAAATCCACTCCTAGAGCTGGGTGCTTTGAAACATTGGAAGCTTGCAGCTATGAAACTCTGAGTTTTTTTGATATGAAACAATTGAGACTAGCTGCTTGAATCTTGATCGTTCAGGTGAAAATAAGTCGACATGTTTAATTTTTTTCTACAGTATCGGTAAAACACCGATTGGGAAACGCTTTGGAAACAACGGAAAAAATTAAAAAGCTTTACAGAGCTGGCAATCGGAGTGCCGGACGGTCTATCCGCTGTCACGTCACCGTCACCCCATGGACAGACGCCCTGGAAGAGAGATTAGCGATAACCCCCCGCTAGAGCGAGCGGCCCGGCCCCATTGCTGTTCGGTAAATGGAAAACAACTCGACTTTGTTTTTTTTTTTTTTTCATTTATTTTGTAACGCTTTCATTTAATTGCTAGATAACCTAAAATTCGCCATAAACTAAATGGTTTTTACTTCAGAAAAAATGTAATTTACTATATAAAAATACACACACAGTTGTGTTGCAATGGAAGCATAAATAGGCATGTTTCAGCATGTAACAAAATTCATGTACAGTTGTGTTCGATCCCGATCGGCTGTTGTCTTTTTTCGTTGCTGTCTTTTGTGCGAAAGAAATCTATGAATTATCATGGTACAGTATGGTTATATAAATAACAAACAAGGTAATTGCTGATTGTAGTACATAATAAGTATATTGTATAAATAATGAATAATTCAACTGGCATTCAAAAACTCTTTCTTTCCTCCTCTCTCTCCCGATATTGATTATGTGGGTCATTCCAGAGTTCTCTTTCTTTCTCTCTCTAGCTTCCGATTAGTATATTATTATTTTATTTTTTCTTAAAAGGGAAGACGATCCATTTGATAAGGCCACACATTGACGTTGGTACGATTTTGTTTTGTGTGTGTTCTGTGCTTGTTTGTTGTACAAAGGGAAGAGCATGTTTTTATAAAAAAAGAATTATTGTATAATAATTACCAAAAAAGCTGGGGGTTTCAGTTATGTCTAGGTTTAAGTATAAATACAGCAAAAAAAAAAAACAGTAATTTAAATTGGTTTGTTTACATAGTATCATTATGTGGTAGACCTTTGCACTCTGCCGTAACAAGTGGGGATTGGTTGGGTAGTACTCGTGGAATAAGATACATACATAGAAATTAAATACAAATAAATAATTAATATGCCTTTTGCACTACTCTCTACGTGCATTTACGAACGATTTAACTCGCTTGTTTTTTTTTTTTGTTAATTTGTTTTGTTTTCATTCTTTCTCAAGACTATAATAATTTGTGTGTTTTCTGTATTTGTTTCATATTCATATATATATTATATTAATGATAAGGCACTTTGAGAATTATAAACCCCTCCCCCCCCCCATTTGATTTATTAACGAGCGCGCTCTCTCTTTCTCTCTCTTATATTGCATTTCTTCGAATGATGCTGTTGCTGTGCTATTGTTGCAGATTTTACGTAAATATAATACCGCTGTCACTGTCAAATGGATCTAATAAATATAAATAGTTAACTATTTAATTGCGATTGAATTTAAATGGGACAATGACATACAAAAAATATAAGGATTCCAAAAATATCTATCGATTCAGGCATAAATAAATATACGTATGTATGTTGTATGTCGGGGTGTGTCTGTTTGTACATAAATAATTTAAATATTTCCATTAAGTTGTGGCTCGCTATTTTGTATTTGTTGCTCCGTTTCGCTTAATTATACATCGCTAACACTGTACTCAGTTTTGTGTGTGTGTGTGTGTGTGTCGATCTGACCGACCACCTCCCACAAACACCAAAGATTAACCAAATATGCCCCCCTGCCAGCTGCTTGTTTTCTATGGGGGGTTTCCCTTGCAGGGGCTAAAGGCTTTGTCGGTTTTTGTCGTGGCCTTTGGGCTTGGGGCCCTGATTATATAGAGGTCTCGTATAAATAGGGGCTGCCCTTCTCTTATCGCGTAACACTAACAATTATAATTATATAACTGCACCCAAAATAAGAAATCAAGAAAAAAATATATAAAATAAATTAAGTTAAATAAAAATATATAATAAACAAAATGATTCTTTCTGAATATACCATATAAAAAAACATAAAATTATCAATGGTCAAAATATATATGTGTGTGTTGTGTTGTGTGAGTGTGTGTGTGTGTCCGTGTTCTGTGTGTAAGTGTATGTGTGTTTGTGTGTATAAATCTGTTGTATGTGTGAGCGGGTTGGTTTCATAAATTATTAACATTAATCGCATATAAAATATCTGGTATGTATATTTATGTGAAAATAAATTATGTGTGTCTAAAAAATCAGCATTTCCGTTCGCGTCACAAAAATTTATCAATAAGATATCATTAACATGAATCGAATCGAATCGAGAGTAGTGTTCGTTCGATATCGATAGTCTTTTGATGAACAATCGACAGGTTTCTGTTCGGTTCTGTTCTTGTTTGTCTTTTCTTTTAATTGTGATTGTGATTGGGGTTGGGTCTTTTCGTTTTTGTTTTTGTTTTGCTTTGTTTTTTTGTTTTGTTTTGTTGCATTGCAGTGGACTGCAAGAGGTATATCATCGATAATAGCGATAGCCAGTGGATTGGCATTGGCGTTATCGTTATATCATTATCGTAATCATTATCGTAGTCTCGTAAATGTAAGTATTGTATAATTTATATAAAGTTTATCAAGAAATATCAACTCATATCGCATATGTACACAACGTTGCTACTACATAATTTAGCAGGATAATAAATTAAAGAACCTTATCGGCTCTCGACGATCCGTTTTGGATTGGATTGGAAGACAACGTTACGGTCCAACGTTAAATATCGAATATATAAATATATATATATATATATATATACATGTATATGCACATGCGTGTACATATATATTTGAATATATATGTTTTGGATTTTCGTTACATTAATCGGATCGATTGATAATCGATTCTCAAATACGATCGATCGCATATAAAAACTAGTCAAATTGTTTGCATAAATATTAAACAAGAGCAATTTGGAAATTGCCTGGGTTCTAATGGGTGTGTGCGGTAAGGTCCCCGCGAATAGGTCCTATAAATGCAAGACCCAAGGATCTGTATACAGTCGCGTGCATGTATACAAATGTTTGTGTGCTCTAAGATCAGATTTCGTTTCAATTGTCTTTGTTTTCTTTTGTTTTGTGGTGTGTTTTTGAGCAACACTCTGCAGCTCTTTGTGCTGCAGTTGCAAGAAGAGTACATTGCTGTGCTGTTCGTTGGTCAAGATCATCGTTGTTGCTTGATTGTTTGGATTAGGAATTAGGTTAGGGGGAATTTTTAAGTCCTGGTGGATAGGTGGCTGCGAAGTTTATCCCGGGCAATCAGGGAGCAGCCAGGGGATCAAGTCTACAATGGTTCGGAGTAGTCGTTGTTGAGATTTTGTCAAGGTTGCTGTTGGTGACTGATTGAATGATTAGATGGATGCGGGACAGTGTTGTTGGATGATTGTTTTTTGGGGCGAGGGTGAGTGTAGGCACTTGGTGCTGGTGCTGCTTAGGGCAGCAGGATGGACTGCAGCTTCTGCTGGTATTCCTCCACGGCGGAGCTCAGTCGGTTGAAGACGGGCAGACGCGGCATCTCCTCCTGCTGCATCGGCGTGCTCATGCTCTTTTGCAGCACCTGCTTGGCCTGTCCTCCCATTCCGCTTCCGCTGCCACTTCCGCTGCCGCCGCTCATGCTGCTGCTGCTGCTGCTGCTCGGGGTGCTGGGCTCGTACGGTGGTGGTGTTTGCACCGGCGAGATGGGCACATTGGGGCTTTCTGGCGGCGTGGCCGGTCCCATGGCCATGGCCATGCCCAGACCCAGTCCCAGGCCCGAGGAAGAGGATGTGGATGAGGCGGAGCTGCCGCCGCCGGTGCCGTGCTTGCCGCCAGAGGAGCCAACGGCCATGCAGAGGTAGCCGCCGTGCTGCAGCGGCATGGCATCGTGAAAGGGGAAGCTCGTCAGCGAGTTGGTCGGGCTGAGCGACAGCGACCCGGTGGGCGACTCCCGGTCCGAGCCGGTGCTCATGCTCAGCGGCGGGCTCAGCGGCATGAAGAATGGGCTCTGGCTGATGCTGATGCTCTGACTGATGCTCGTCTGGCTTCCGAGCTGTGATGGCTTCTGGAAGCCCTGCTGCTGCTGCTGCTGCTGCTGCTGCGGCTGCTGCTGTTGTTGTCCCTGTCCCTGTCCTTGCTGCTGCTGTTGCTGTTGCTGCTGCTGTCCCGACTTAGCCGCCTGGGCTGCGGCCTGCTGCTGGGCGCGGGCCTCGTCTGCGTTGTGCACAAAGTGGCAGCGCGGCCCAGTAGGGGCAGAATCCGACGCTATGGAATGTGCGACAGTACTCCGTCTTGTACTTGGGATGGCGCTGCAGGTTGCGCAGCTCGTGGAAGCCGTGCGCGAACTGGCACTTCTCTCCGTACTTGCACTCGCCGGCCTCCTCGAACGGGCGGCAGAGCTCCGTCTTGTAGCTGTAGCAAACGGAATAAATAAGTCATAAGTCTGGCGTCGAATGAAAGCTCTGCATCTGCATTAAGGATTTTGAATCTGGGTTTTTGGGGCACTCACCGAGATATGTTCATGGGCTGCTGGGGCAGCGGCTCGGACTGTGTGCGCTCGAGCTTGCGGTGCAGATTCATGTTCCCCAGATTCTCAATGATCGTCACCAGGGAGGCAACACCCTGCGGCTGCTGCTGCTGCTGTTGATGCTGCTGTTGTTGTTGTTGGATCTGTTGCTGTTGCATCTGCTGCTGCTGCTGGTGCAAAGGGTGGCGCTGTTGAGCCGGCTGTGAGATGGTGCGTGTGAGGGCACCATGGAGGCGGTGCTGCTGTGACTGTGACTGCTCCATGTTGATATCCAGGACGAGCTGATCCGCGGTCTGCTGCTGAAGCTGAAGCTGCTGCTGCTGCTGTTGCTGGTGCTGCTGCGGCTGGTGATGATCGCTGGCCACCTGCGAATGGGAGAGATACGTTGAAATCAATTGCCATTGCTGCTTTTTGGGGGGATACGTAACGCGAATGTTTCGCAAAAAAAAAAAAAAATAAACCAAAAAGAAAAAAAAACTCAAAAGGGATGGGATGGTAAAGACAGCGCGAAAGAGGGCGAGCAGCAAAGACACGGCTTAAATGGTGTTGGATACTTTTACTTTTAACTTGACCTATAAGCAAAAGCCCAACCACACACACAGACACACACACACAGGCATTGGTCTAGCGGCAGCGGCAGCGACTGCAGCAGCAGCAGCAGCGCTATTTTTGGTAAGCAGCGACTGAGGCTGAGGCAGCGACTGAGCCACACTTGCAGCGTGTGGTGGATATTGCAAAAGTCACAAATGCTTATAATTTTCCAGACATTAACCAACCGCACACACACACACACACACACACACACACACACACAGACACACCAATACTCTGCCAAAGGGAAGTCGGATGCGGGGGGCGAAGCTCTCCCTATTACAGCGACCGGCTTCCGATTCGCAAAATGGAGAAGGATCTTTATCGTTGGCCTTTTGGCACTTACTTGAAAATTTAATTCTCTTTATCCTGAACTGTTTTCGGTTTGGACTTGACTTGATTTTTAATTAGATTTAATGTGAATATCAAACTAAGTTAAACTAAAGTCACCGATTATTTCGATTGATATATGTATGTTACTGATAGTACTGATATGTAACCCTAGGCTGATTCCGGCATCAATCATAGGCATCATATCAGTTCTTTGCTTCAATTACCCAAAGATCTGATCTATCTCAGGTCAGGAATACCCTGTTCGCAAGGGTATCTTATACATAGGTACATTACATTACATAAATGGATACAATTAATCATTTGGCGCTGTTTCTTCTTCTCTTTGCAACACTCCATATTCCTTTCCCCCCCAATCCCACACCTAATCGGCAAACACTCCTAACCGCCGCGCGCTCCCTTTGTTTCCACTCTCCAAATCCCATCCACACAGCACTCTACCCACCCCCCCTGCCATACACCCTCTTTTGTGATCGTGTCGTCATCAGTTTCGGTTTTATTTCTTTTTGGGGAACGCCGTATTTCCCGTCTGTCTGCCCGCCCGTCCGTCGCTTGGTTCGTTTTCGTTTCGTGCGATGCTGTAACATGTTATGCAACCAGTTAACACACACACACACACACAGCGCAGCAAAGTACACTCTCTGGCTGAAAGGCAGCACGGCACGGCACGGCAACCCACTCCATGCCATGCCATGCCACTCCAAGCGTGGCCAAAACTACTCTCGCAGCAGCAGCAGCAGCAACAGCAACAGCTGCCAGCCAGCCAAGAGCCAATTACATATGTATGGAGCTCAAGTTCAAGCCAACAACACGAAAAGCCAACTCCCCCCCCGTCCCCGTCACCGTTCCGTTCCGTCCCTCTCACTCTCCCTTTCCCACCCATCAACAGCCAACAGTTGAAGCCGGAGCTAAAAGCCGCAGCAGCATCAGCAGCCTCATACGCAGACGCGCAGCCGAAGCTACCAACAATATTTTGGGGGGCCCAACAGCAGCAGCAGCAGCGCCCACCTCATCCTCTCTCTCACTCTCTCTCTGTCTGAGCAGCAAAAACCGGTTGACTGTGGTTGCTCAACAAGTGCGAGAAGAGAGGCGAAAGGCGAACGCATGCGCAACGACAGCCAGCAGCGACAGCAGCAATAGAGTTGCCAGAGTTCCCAGAGTGTCCCAGAGCCAACAGCAGCGGACAAATGTCGTGGAAGCAGGAAAAGAAAAGGGGGTTTCGAAATCTCCAGAGAGATAGATAACAGATTACAGCTGCCTTACCCCACTTGCGGAGCAGCTTATCTCTTCACGGAAGAGCTTTAGTCATTATTTTCAAAAAAAAAAAAAAATAATAATAATAATAATACGATGGGGTGGCATGGGAATGTAAATGAGTATTACATGGTTAAATGTTGCATATTACATATGTATGTATACATAAAACAAAATAAAAATTTATATTCCCATTAAAATAGTTTTTACCACAAGAATCTTTGATGATTTAGCGTAATAAATTATACGCTTTCAAAACCATAATCAGTACAAAACGGTGTACATATATGTACAGTTGTGTTCAATGAAATAGTAGTGCCGCACCCTCACTGCTTTCAAAACTCTTTTTGAGATATTTCTAGTCCTTCAAATTGAACAAGTGATACCTTTACGGAAAGCCTGGAATGTAAGCATTAGAAGCTTGAAGAAACCACGTTACATTTGCATTCCATCTTCTTGTTTTTCATGACTTTAGACAACTACCCATGATATCTGCTGTTCAATGAAATAGTAGTGCTGGGTTAATTTAATTTTAAAAATGAAAAAACAAACAAATTAATTTAAATAAGTCACCACCCTTAAGCTCAATTTGGTTATCAAATAATTTGATGAAAGAAAGTTTTGTACATAGCGGTACTTTTGATTTTGAAGCGTTGAAGAAATCATTGCTCGGTCCAGAAGAGGAGACCTAAGATTTAGACTAAAAACTTAAGGAAGGAGGTATAATGGGATTGAAAACTAAGTTGTATGCACTCTCACTATTGTGTTTAATTAATTAACTATAAGAGTAGACTGAAAATCGATTTTGTATTCGAAAACATATTTATAGAGGATGGTCGGCATGGTCGAGGCAAGACCAGGCCTTCAATATCCTCAAAAATTATGAAAAAAATTTTTTAATCGCTCTATCAGTTATGTGACAGTTTGTAGACGGTTGATTTCACATTATTTGAATTCAAGAAGTCCCAGAAAGCTCCGCGTTTGGGTCTGAGAGTACAAGGGTGCACGACTTCAGTTTGGAAAAACGGATGTGAATTGGCCTGTGTCACAGGGACAAAAATATTTTTTACTGATGATAGTAAAGTTGTATTATTTGGTAAGATAGATTCAAAAGAATATGTTTGGCATTCACAGAAATCCGATTACCACCTAAAATCATGAAAATTAGCATTGGGCATGCTAGGCTGAGCCCTAGGGGACCAGCTCATATGAGCAAGTACTTTCTGGCCTGGCGTTTGGGTAGTATGGTTTTGAGCGAAATTGGGGATGTAGGCATCTTAGAATACATTAAATTCATAATACAGTTAAAAAATTACTGCTAAAATTATATTTTAACCGGATAATGACTTGAACACCCATAAAAGCTCGCTAGGAATTAATTGTTATCGGAAAGATCGACGTTTTGCCATGGCCAACTGTCCAACTGGATATAAATCTCATCGAAATCTTATGGGGAATACCAAATACATTATTGCAACTAAAATCCGTGAACCAGCCCAGTTTTAGCAAGTGGTTCATGGATTATTGGCTCAAACCCTTTTGAAGCGTTGGCAAGAGATTAATGACCCATGTTCGGCTAAGTTCGAAACGACAACCAAATTGATTAAAAACTAAATATTAAAGCTCCATGAAAAACATGAAATATATGTTTTTATTTGAGATTCGTTGTTTTTTTCAATGTTCTAAAACACTACTATTTCATTGAACAGCAAATTTCATGGGTATTCGGCTTATGTCATGTAAACAAGAAAATGGAATTCAAATGTATTGATATTTCGTCGGTTTTTTAATGGTAACAGTCAAGTCTATTTAAAAAGGTATCATTTGTTCAATTTGGATAACTGGAAGTGTCTCAAAAAGAGTTTTGAAAGTGATGAGGTGCGGCACTACTATTTCATTGAACACAACTGTATGTATGTATATTTATTAATTTGCATAATACATACATATGTACATAAAAAATAAATTGAGCTTAGGTTATCTTTAGTCTGATTTTCAGTATCAATGGAAAAACAAAAAAATTCGATTTGAAATTAATTCATTTGCCTGCGCGGTTAATTATTTGGATTCAGCCAGCAGTCGTAACAGAATAAACGAACTGAACAGAAATTTAGCTCTTTTTTTGTTGTTGTCTGCGCTGACTGCTTTTGGCTCTATCTTTTCACAAATTCGTGTCTAAATTTGTATTTCAATTTCCATTTTTCGTATTTCAATTTCGATTCCAATTTCATTTAATTTCAATTTCCTGCATTACATTTTGTGACCTTGAAAAGTAGTAAAAGGATAAAGAATTTCTACTAAATTAAAACCACACTTAACTACAGTGACACATATGTATGTAGCTACATCTCTGCCATAAATTATGCGATAATCACAGCTGTTATGTCTCTCAACCACCTGGCAACCCTGTACAGCTGTGCGGCTGTGTAACTCTGCGCAGATCGCTAGCACAGGCAGAGGACAGGGCAGAGGGCAGAGGCAATGGCAACAAGTTTTAGCAAACCTTTTACGACTGCTTTGACCAACTTTGATGCTTACGGCATCGCAGCGACTGCGACTGAGACTGCGGATACGCTGACTCCTGCTGCTGCTGCTGCTGCTGCTGCTGCCGCTGCCACTGCCACTACTGCTGCTGCTTAAGCTTTAGCATGCATAAAGTACCACAAATAGTGGGCAGAGGAGGTGAAGTGTGGAGGGTGGAGGGGGGCTGGCTGGGCTGTTCGTTGTGGTACGATGTGTCTCTCGAAACGCTTAAACGTGTTCGAAAACAACTTTAAGTTGGCGAACGCCACAATCTCGCTCGCTTGCTCATTCCCTCTCTCCGCTCCCTACTGTGACTGGATTTTGGTTTCCGTACGTGTGTGTGTGTGTGTGTGTGTGAAAACAAGATTAAGACAGGAGTGTACCATGGAGCATGGAGCGGGTACTACTCTAGTCGAGAGAAGAGAGAGGAGCAGGTAAAAGCAAGCAACCGAGCGAGTGGAAGAGGGAGAGGCGAAGCGGTAACAGCTAGAGCTAGATAAGAGCGGATTAGAGTCGGGTTTTGGGATACCCTTCATCCAGGCTGGAATGGGCTATGCGGATTTCCAAGATTACAAATCTGTATTTGTGTGGAATATTAAACTAAAACACATTCGAGTTTTGATAATTGAACATGGGATTCGGATGC